GGCATGGTTTTCCTTCTATTTTCCTTCTTGATTAGCAATTAAAGCCAAAACAGTAGGAGCAGAGAGGCCAGACTGTGCTGGGAGATGCCTCGGAGCTGTAAAGCTGAGCCCTAGCAAGGAACTATCTTCTTGTTGAGTGGCTTTGCTCGGAAAGGCACTGCCAGGGCTGGTTGCTCCCGCATTTCCTGGGAGCTGGAAGGATTCCCCGGGCCAAGCCAGGCTCCTGAGCACTAATGGGTGTTAGAAGGGCTCTCAGCTGCTTCCACTCCACTTCAAAGGGATGCAAAGCTCCCCATTGCTCAACCTCTTGTCCCTGTGCCTCCCCACACACTTCCCTTGGTCATGTTGGCTCTCTCTAGCCACCAATACTTGGGAGCAGCCAAACCCTCACCAGGGAAGTGTGAGCCCAGGCTTTGGCTTGTCCCAGGCACTTGCAGAGGAGTCAGGGAGCTGCACCTGGAGTCACTCAGGAGTGGGATTGTGGCCCTGCTTCTGGCCACAGGCAGCAGCATTCCCTTGGGACCAGCTCATGGATCAGGGGGTGCAGCGTTCCCTACATGAGTTACAGGCTGGGGGGAAAGGATACCTCCCCAAAACTGCAGTTTGTTCCCTTAACCCATTTTTTTTTTGTATTATTATAGCAGTCACGCTTGTTTGTTTAGGACCTGTTTGCTGTTTATAAGAGAAGGCTTTGCCTTAAGTAACTCTTTGCACTATGTACTAGATACTGAGCAGATTAAAGTCTCCTTTACCAAAACTGGGCGCTGCCTCATTCTTGGGAAGGTTTTTTTTCAGGAAATGTGTGTTTATGTCTCTTTCATCCACCCCTGGACTCCAAGGAAAGCCCATCACTCCCCACAAAGGGTCAACATCACCTGCAGGCTCAGGAGTGTTTGCCCCCAGAAAAGCAGAGCAAGGCTACTGCACAGGGAAAATCCAGCACCCAGGAGATGAATTTACACCCAAACCCACTCTGGGTGGGCTTGGCAGAGCTGGCAGCCCCCAACTCCTGCTCTGCCAACCCACAACGAGAGGAGATGGTTGTGGAGATACCACACCAGGGGACAGGGAGAAGGGGCTGGGGTTTCCCAGCATGTTCCAGGCTGGCAGGACCATGCTGGGACATGTTCGTTCCTGCACGAATCTGATCCCTCAACATCCTGTACCAGACTGTTCCTGGGATGGAGGCAGCACAGGGCTGGGTCTTGCCTTGCAGAAAGGCTGTGGCAGGCTCAGGGTTACCTGTGGTTATCTGTGAGCAGATGCATTTGCTGCACAAGGAGCTGCTCCCTGGCTCGAATCTGAGCTCCTGGCAGGTTGCTTTGTGCTTTTAAGCACTCTCTACTTCCCCAGCATCCTCATAAATTGTTTGGAAAAATGACTCAGGACCCTGATGGGCAGAGATTCCAGGAGTCCTGGCTTGCCCTGCCCTGGCAGGACCATGCCAGCAAAGTGGCTCATTTAAATCAGGATGGAAAGCAAGAGAGGGGAGCTGGGAGCTGCTGGGAGGCCAGAAAGAGGCAGATACCTGCTCAGGCACAGGGAGGAGGGCCGTGCTGGCAGATGGGTGATAAGTGGGTGAACTGAGGCACTTCTCTTGCTCCCAGCGTGTGACCCGAGGCTGGGTGGGCACCTGGGGAGGCTGCAGAGGGGGCAGGAAGGTGGGATCAGCAGGGGAATGTCTGCCATACCCTGCACAGGCAGGATGCTCCCAGCCCAGCACCCCAGCAGGGGATGGGAAGGGTGTTGGGCCACCTCAGGCCACTGTGGCCGAACTTTCCCAGAGAGGACAGGATGTGCAGGACTCAGCCCTCCCCCGGGAGCCATCCTGCACACACTTGGCTCCATCTCTGCTCCAGCAGCCAGCAATTGCAGGAGGGAAATGCAACCACCTCCCTGCTAATGGACACGGTCTGTGAACCCTGCCTGCCCTGGCACTTTGGTTTTTGGTGCAGTTTGGGCAGCAGAAACACTCACAGACCACTCCAGGGCAGAAGATTTGGAGTCCTCGGGGTATTCCCTGCTCCAGAACATGCTTGGGAGGCTCCCACATGGCTGCTGTCAGCTCATCAAAGTTCCAAGAGCCTTCCCTAAGGAGGGAGGAGCGTGATGCTGCCGAGTGACCCCGGTTTAGGAGCACTGGGGTGGTCGGCTCTGGCAGCCTGCTCAAAGCAGGAGCCCCCAGGCGCTGGGAAAAATCCCATTGTCAGCCCAGCTGCAACTCCCCCGCCCTAATGAGCGGCTCGTCACAGCCTGGGGACAAGAGGCACGGTCTGCCTGCCAGCAGGGAGCGGGGGGACAGCCGGGAGCGCAGATGTGGCACAGCAGGAGCGGGGAATGATAGCCGGCCGGGAGGGAGGGAGCAGGTGAGGATCAGCAGCACAACCACGGGGGGCCTTTGGGCTGCTGCCGGCACCATTGGTTCCTCATTAGTGACCCAGCCCAGGGAGCCTCAGCAGCTCCCCGGACACAGCAGCGATCCTCGCAGCCTCAGGGACACGGAGGGGCTGAGGCTGGCGGGGACATCGAGGTCACCCAGCCTAGAGCAGCTTGCACGGTACTGGGGACAGCGGGCTTCCCAAAATCTCAGTGCGGGGAGACTCCAGTGCCCCTCTGAGCAGCCATGCCAGGGTTTGATCAGCACAGAGATGCTTCCACCTCATCCCTGCTCGTTGGGATGGACCTGAGTTTGGAGGAGCTGGTCCTTCATCCTCTTGGACACCTCTCCAGGACGTGTCCCAAGGACATCCCTGAAGGAGCCAGTGTCTGCTCTCCTAAAATCCAGGCTTGTGGTCCTTTTCTTGCCCACTCCACCCCCATGTGAGCAAGGATTGTCCCCTCCCCTGCCATTCCCAGGTTAAAGGTGTCCTTACCAGATCAGCAGTCCTGAAGACGTCTGGGAATGTTCCCTGCACCTCGTCAGCGATGAGGTCTCTGAACCCGGGCTGTAACCAAACTTTTGGGTGGAGCAGGAGCCCTCCTGGTCACCAGGCCACCCTTCACCACTGGGGGCATTTCCACGCTCTGGCACCATAAGCACTGTGCAGCTGTAGGGTCTCAGAGATGATCCAGTTGATCTCTTTAATCTCTGGTGCCTGCTGACCTCTTCAGGTGACCTTGGAGTGCCAAGGACACGAGTGCTGCTCTAAAAAGAGGTGCTGGCATTTATTTTTGTTTCTAAAAACCCACAACGCAACCACAAAAACCTCAAAAGAAACAACAAAACAACCCGACTGCTGCGTCTGTCAGCTGTGCTGCAGCACCTGTGGGCTCAGCCTGGCTCTTATATGGGCTTCTCTCTTGCCCCGGCTGAGGGATGCTGGCCCCTCCCTAACCTGGGCGCAGCTGGAACAGGATTTCCAAGCTCTCCTAACTCAGGGGGAAGCTGAGAGAGCTCATCAAAAGCAGGAACTCGTCAAAGTCTCTTGTGGCTCTCTTTTCCTTTCCTTTCCTTGCCCTCTTCCTCATGCTCCCTAGGCAGCAGCAGACATTCTCACATTGTCACAGGGGTCCCCCTGATCCCAGACAGTGTCCACACAAACAAGAGCATCCCAAAGGAAGCAGAGCCCAGAAACTGCTGCACCAAAGCGCTGTGGCTGCCTGTGCTGATCGTGCTCCCCCACATCTTGATGGGGACCAGGGAATGCTCCCAGCCCCCACACACCTCGTCCAGCAAATTCCCTTTCCTCCTCCCAGAATAGCCATCGATCTGCTCTGCGGCGTTGTTTGCCCCCTGAGCAGCTCTGCTTACAGAAAAAGCCATCTCCAGCCCAAACAGAGGCTTCTGCTGCAACCCGACCCCGGCGCTGCCTGAGGAGCTTTCGGGGTGCCCCCAAAGGTGTCACCCCTGTTCCCAGCACCGCCGCAGGTCCCGACGGATCGGGAGTAGCCCAGGCAGGTTGCAGTGATGTGCCCATGGTCCTGTCCCGGAGTGTGGGCTCCCCTTGGGGGTGGCACTGTCACACGGGTGTCCCCGCGGCTGCTGCCAGCCTGCTGCAGCTCCCAGGTGAGCAGGGACACGGTGTCTGCTCCTCCCGGTGGGCACAGCTGTAGTCCTGGGGGTCCATCCGGCACAGATGGGGGGATCTGGGGAAGGGGAGGGGTGCCTGTCCGGCTGTGTGGGGGTTCCTGGGCTGGGGAGCTCTGGCACGGCCAGGAGAAGAGCCGGTCCCAGCTGGCACCCTGCAGCCGGGCAGGACAGCGTCCCAAGCCCATTAAGGGGTTCGGCCGCTGGCCAAGAGCCCCCTCCCCTGCTGGTCCCCTCAGGGACCTATTTTGGGCAAGGAATGAGGAAGCTCTTCATTCCCTTGCTAAAAATAGCGACCTTTCCCAGCGGCGGGTCAGCGCTTTCACACTGGGGCGGGGGGCGGGCACGGGGGGCTCCGCAAGCCACGTTCGAGGACTGACGGGGCACCCCCCGGACCCCTGGCTTTGCTCGCCCCGGGCAATCCGCTCCCCCCGGGGTGGCCCTGACAGCATCGGGACCCTCCCATCCCAGACACTCGGTGCTCGGGGGGACCCCGGGGGTGCTCCCGCCCCGCTCCCGAGCCTTGGGGAGGTGCCGAGGGCTGTCGCAGAGCTGCGCTCACGGCTCAAGGACGCCGATGCCACCATCTAGTGGCTCTCGCTGGCCCTGCGGGGGCATTCCCGACATCCCGGGCAGGGCTGCGCCCTCGGGGGTCCCACGGCATCGGCAGGGGCGCACAGGCAGGCGGCACAGGCGTAGCGGAGCAGCCCTTTATTGAGGGGAGGGATGGGACAGGACCCTCGGGACGGGCTCCTGGCCCCTCAGCCCGGCTTGCCCTGCCCTGGGACCGCGCACCGCGGTGGGTGCCCGAAATAACAGCGAACTTATTTCCTACAACGCAGCGCTGCTGCAGGGGTGCTCCCCGACATCCCCCGATGGCAGAGGGATGGTGTGTGTGCTCCGAGCAGCGCAGGGGTCCCGCTGCCCCCGCTCCCACCCCGCCCGTGGCTGGGAAGGGGCACCTGCCCACCCCAGGGCGGGCTCAGGCGAACACGGCGGAGTTTTGCCAGTAGGAGTAGACGAGGAAGCCGGTGAAGGTGCTGTCCGTCTTGACGCTGGCGTAGAAGCCGATGTAGTCCCCCACGCCCACCTGCACCCACACCTCGTCCTCGGGCTCCAGGCGGACCAGGGTGCCCCCCGAGAGCGAGGTGGGCTTGGGCCAGTTGCCGTAGTACTGGAAGAAGGAGGCGATGGAGTGGCCGTTCTTCATGATGTCGAACTGCAGGCTGGTGCGGTACACGGTGGCGTGCACGGCGAAGTAATACAGGCCGGGCACCTCGCAGGTGAACTTGCCCGTGGCAGGGTCGTAGTGGCCCTGCTCGTTGATGAGCACCACGTCGAAGAGGATGGGCTGGTCGGCCAGGGGAGGGCTGCGGGACTCGGAGCGCTTGGCACTGAAGGCGGAGCGAGGAGCCACGGCGCACTCGCCCTGAGCCCCCTTCTCACCGTGCAGCCCGTCCACGCCGGGGCTGCCCACCTCCCCGCGGGGACCGGGCACTCCTAGGGCAGGCAGGAGGGGACAGGGTCACCTCTAGGTCACCGACACAGCTCCTCCACCCCTCCTGCCCAGTCCCAATTCCACCAGGGATTCCCTGCCACAGACAGGGCACTGCGTGGTGAAACAGCACAAACGGGTGTGTAATTTAGCACAGCATCAACAAATCGTTGGAGAAACCCTCAGAGGCTGAGAAAAAGCCCAGCCCAGGAGCCAGGGCAGGAATGATGCAATGCCTGGTGGTCCCTCCTAAAGCAGGGCTGGAAGAGAGGGGGATGGCACTGGGGATGGGGACAAACACAGCTTTACCAGTGACAGGGAACTGCTGCCTTTTACAGGAACACAGGGGCATCACAGGCAGAGCCAAAGGGGTCGTGGTGGCGTGGCAGGGGCACTTCTGTAGCATTCATTCTCCATTTGGCAATTTGTGCCTAGCATGAGGGTGTTCACTACGGGCATGGAGTGGCAAATCCCCCTCCCCAGCTGGGATCTCTCCTTTCTTACCAGGAGGGCCCATGTCGCCCTTCTCTCCTGGCATGCCCGTGGCTCCATCCCGACCATCTCGTCCGTCTCTGCCTGGCAAGCCCTGGCCCCCGTGCAGGCCCGGGGTCCCCGGGATGCCCGGCTGCCCTGAGCACAGCCCAGGGATCTTGTTATCTTCGATCTGCAAGGACCTGGTGATGAGCCCGAGGAAGAAGAGCAGGAATAACTGCTTCATCCTGACCTGGAGGGGCTGGAAGAGGGCAGAGAAGGATCACAGCTCCGGGGAGCACAGTGAAGAGGATTGGGAGTGCTTAGCAGGGAGTGCAGACATTCCCCCCATTCTTTTCCCTTTACATATTGGGCTGCTCCTCTAAGCCAGGCCCTGGTGCTGCCTGCACCTGCCACAGCATCCCCATGGCCCGTGTGCCATCACATCATCCTGCAGCCCCGGGACGGCTCGGGATGTGTTTGGGGGGTGGATATAGGGCCAGGGGCTGTGGCAGTGTCTTTGTGTGTGTGGCTCGGGGCTCTCTGGGGTGGGCACTGCCCCATCACGCCCAGCTATAGGGGAAGGGGCAGGGGGATTTAGGGCTGCCAGCTGGTGAGCTGTGAGCGTGCCTGGGGTGGGGTTGTTGCCTTTGAGGGGGCAGCTCGCAGGACGCGGGGCTGTGTCGTGGCCCTGCCCTTGGCAGCATCCCCGGCTGCCGGCGGCTCCGCTCCACCCCCGGCCGGCTCCCCGGGGCACGGCTGGCAGCGGCTGCAGCATCCCCGGCCGTGCTGGACCACCCCTCTGCCGGGACCACCCCCGTGCCAGGACTGTCCCCAATCCTCCCCACAGCAGCGCAGCGAGGGCTGAGCCCCAGGGCTAGCGCTGGCCCCCTCCCCGTGGCCTTGACCCAGAAAAGCTGCTCTCTTCCCCCTCCAGCACGACAACAAAGAGGAAAAGGAGGAGAGAAAGTGTCTCTCCTCCGCCCAGGCGCCGGAGGCAGGAAGCCAGGGAGTCGCAGCTCCCCCCGGCTGGGTATCCCCACTCACTGCGATCCCGCGGCTCCTGTCCCGGGACCTCGCTGCTCGCTGCTGTGGAAGGGCTGAGGCTCTTCCTGGCCACTTGGCTCTGACGAAGGCCCTAAGAGAGGCAGCCTCTCCACCCCCCCCTCCTCCCCACGTCTCTCCTCCCAAACTCCAAAGGAAATCAAGGGCCTTGGGAGCCAAAAGCTACAAGACAAGGGGAAAAAGAAAAATAATCCCATGATGTCGGAAGTGCTTTAAGCAGGGGGAAGGGAGAGCACTGCAAAGAGCCCGGCCGAGGGAGAGGAGGGTGAACCATCTCAGCTGGACATGGCTGAGCACCCGGGCAGCAGGATGGAGGGGAGAAAAACAGGGAAAACAGGCAGCAAAAGGAAAGGAAACAAGATAAAGGCGAAGGGAGAGAAATCCAGCAAGGCAGAGAGAGATGGAGCGGCAGAAGAGGGAGCTCTCAGGGTGTGTGAGTGCCCTGACAGGCAGCAGAGCTGAGGCAAAGAGGATGGCAGAACACACAGTGCCTGGCAGTGCCAGCCCTGGGAGCATCCAAGGGAAGCCGCAGGATCCATCTGGGAGGTCTCAGCACGTTGGGCTGAGCGTGCAGGGCAGGTGGGAGCACAGGCAGAGCAGGGCTGTGCCCGTGCCAGGAGGCAGGGCTGGCCCTGGGCGCCGGGAGCACGCAGCGGAGCTTTCGAGGCGCTCCCAGCTTGGCTTTAACTCGTTCCAGCGCCAAGGGACACGGTCACACGCTGGCCAGCGGGGCGGGCCTGTGGCTGCGGGGTGTCCCTGTGCCTGGCAGCAGCTGGGACATGCAGGGAATGAAGAAGCTGGGTGGGCCCAAAGCCCCTGAGCTGGGTGAGCAGCAGCGCCGTGCTGGGTACAGGGGCTGAGCGGTGCTGGCACAAATGGGTCCTGATCCCAGTGACCCCAGCCAGGCTGGGGATTTCCCTACATGCTCGGGAAAGTGGGAAACACGGCGGCACTGCTGGCTCAGAGCCTGAAGTGGAGCCGGTGACATTGCCAAATGTCCCTTCCTGACCTGGATACCCACGGCCAGGCTGGGTGGTGGCAGGGAGCCGCCTGTCTCCACGCTCCCAAGGTGTGAAGACACTGTTGTTTTTGGCCAGCTGGACACTGGTTTGTGGCCATGGGTGTTGCCAGGCCTGTGGCTACCAGGGTGGCCTTCAGCCAGCTCAGCCAGCACGGCCAGCAGAACCACTGCCCTTGGTGGGGCAGGATCCCTTCCCTGCACCATGGGACCACCAACTGGACCCCTCTGAGACTCATCCATCTCCCTGGGACCCTGCAAGCCCCCAGCCCAGTGAGGGCACAGCCAGCTGCCTGCTCTCCCCTGCAGTCTCCCCTATGCCCCTCCATCCCTGCTCAGATCCCCCACCCCATCCCTGCCTTCCCTCCCTCCACCCATTTCTCTGTCCCCTGGGATCTGGCACCACCCACACACAGACCCCAAACGAGTCACCTGCTCCATTGGATTTTTCAGCTGCTCTCGCTGTTTATTCTGCTGCCTTTGGGGCTGTGGGACACCGGCAGCCCTGGGCTCTTGTGCCTGTAGCCTGGCTCACCTCTGCCCAGCTTTACTCCGTTTGGGAAGAATCAGCCCTTTCCCTCGTGCCCCAGCACAGCCTCTCCAGCACAAGCCTTTCCCTGTGGGGTATGTCACCTGCTCTCTAGGGAAATGGAGCTGTGGGCAAGCCCGTGGCATCCAGGCACCAAGCCAAGCACTGGGCAGAGGGGCTGAGCCCAGGGCAGGTGCGGGGCCACCCCAACAGCTGGGTATTTACAACAGGAAGAGCATGGGAGGGGTATTTGGAGTGGAGAGCGTGGCTCCAGCCCCTGCTGCTCTCCTCTTGCCGGCTCAGGGCTGGAAGCACTCTACGGGGTCGTTGGAGTCGGGCAGGATGTTGCAGTTGATGGGCCAGAGGATGCCGAGGAGGCCGAGGGACTGCTGGCAGCGCAGCTCTGCCGCCAGGCACACGGCCCGGCAGGGCTGCAGCACCCCCCCGTCAGGGGTGCACTTGGGCACGAAGAGGCTGCAGATGAGCAGGCGGAGGTGCTGGTAACACGCCAGCTCCATCAGCGTCTGCGGGGACAGCGGGGACAATGGGGACAACGGCGTGAGCCCGGCAGGGTGGGCTGAGGGCAGCCCCGTGGGCAGCCCCCGGCCAGCTCACCTGGTAGTCCTGCAGCACCTCGGCCGCTCCCTCCTGGTCCGGGATGGCCAGCCAGATGTTGGGGAAGGAGGTGGCGTTGTAGCCCAGCCCCAGGCACATCTCCACTTCCACGGGCTCGCAGACAGACCCTGCCGCAGGGAGAGGGGATTCACTCGTGCCGGTGTTCAGCGCTGCCCACCGGCTGTGCCAGCCCCGGGGCCAGCGGGGCTCAGGGGTGGCACTCACCAAAGGCCGGGTAGGACACCCCGGTGCAGTTCAGCTCGTCAGTGCCGTCGGGGCAGTCGTGCCAGCCGTCACACACAGACTCCAGCGCCCGGCACTCGCCATTCCCACAGGAAAACTCCGCGGGGCTGCAGGTCTCTGGAAGGGGAGAGGGCAGGGCACGTTCTCATGCACCCCTGGCTGGTGTCCTTCGTCACTGGCCAGGGGATCTGGCAGATCCAGTTTAGGGCGATCCCACATCCCTTGGGTTATCTGGGGACAGCCCTCAGGTCATGGATCAATGCCTCTGTGCAGGTGAGCCCTTCCAGGTCACATCTCCATGGCTATAAGGTTATAGCGTAAATCACCTGATTTACCCCGGGGGCCTCTTGCTCCGAGTCTGTGGAACAAGAGCTGTTTTTCCCAGGTTTTTATCCTGGAATGGAGGTGGCACAACCAACCCTGGGCAGTCTGTGCCCCCTCTTGGCTACCTACTCTCTGTGGCATTGCGGGCTTGGTAGGTGGCAAAGAACCCGTCATCTGCAACTCCCTCATCCGCCACGAACAGGACGGTCATGACATGCCGTGAGGAGGTCAGGGTGGGTGGCACCTGGTGGCCACAGAACCTGCCAGGTCATTGGACGAGAGATGGGGTCAGGGGGAGACCAGAACCTCCCCAGACCCTGCATTCTGGTGGCTCCTCCCCACCAGCCAGCCTCGTGCCTCAGTTTCCCCAGGTGAACCATGGTCCCTGTGTCGCCAGGGTGGCACAGCAGGCCTGGGGGTGCCGGCTACCTGCCCATGAGGCTGGCGGTCCCCGTGCCCGCGCTGTCGTGCACCTCCACGAAGTCGAAGCTGCAGTCGTCGTGCGACTCCAGGCTGAAGTTGTGGAAGTGCAGGTCGATGACGTGGCCCAGGGGCACCGAGATCTGCCAGAGGCACAGCTGGGGCGGGGGAGCAGCCGGCGACACCCGTGAAGCCGGGCAGGGGCACCCCCAGCTCTCCCCCGGGCGGGGGCTGCCTTCCTCCCTGCTCATCCTCATCCTCACCGTGCTCCTTCTCCCAGGACCCCTTCTCTCACCTGCTGGTGCGGGTATGGCTGGGGGTGGTTCGGGGTGGACAAGTGCCCCTCCAAGGCGGTCAGCGGCCCCCCACACTCTGCAGGGACACACAGACACGGGCAGATTTACCCCTGCTCCTCTCCCTTCCCTCCATCTCCCCTCTCCCCGCCCATCCCCGGGTGCCGCGGGAGCTGGGGGCTGCAGGTGAGGGTCTGTCCCGCCCACCTTTGTGTTTCAGGCTGCAGTTGGCCTCGTCGCTCCTGTCCGTGCAGTCGTGGAAGCCGTCGCACACGAAGCCCAGCTGGAGGCAGAGCCCCTGGTCACACAAGTGCTCGTCCCAGGCGCAGCTCTCTGCACGCAGCCACAGACACCCAGGCTGGCGGGGGGTGGTTCCAGCGGGCACCCTGCCCTCCCCACTGGGTGCCCCCAGCCCTGAGGGACCCTGGCAGTGCCCTGGCCCGGGGGCACTCACTCTCGGCGGGGCTCACGGCGCGGTAGCGGGCGGTGAAACCCTGGGCACCCACGCTGCTGTCGGACACGAAGGTGACCCGCAGGCGATTGGAGTCGGTGTTGAAGGTCGGGGGGGGCACATTGCCACAAAATCTGGGGGCACAGCAAGGGCTGGCACGGCTCGCTGCCCCCTGCCCCGCTGCACGGCCACGCTCCCCAGGTGTGAGGAGCCCTACCTGGTCGGGCTCCCTCGAGCTGGGGCTGTGCCAGCGGTGCCCTGCTCTTCGTAGAGCTCCAGGCGGTCGAAGAGGCAGGAGGCCGTGCCCTCCACGCTGAACGTCTCCATCCTCAGCTGGATGGCCAGGCCGGCGCCCACCTCGATGCTCCAGATGCAGAGGGCATTGGGGGGATAGGGGCCGGGGTAGTTGGGGGAGCTGAAGGAGCCCTCGGGGCCCCGCAGGGTCCCTCCGCAGGCTGAACGAGGCAACGGCGTGGGCATGAGCTGGAGCAGGGCACCTCCATCCCAAAACACTGCCCCACTCGGGACTTACCCGGTGCTGCTGTGCGGGCCGTGGGCAGCCAGCTCTCGGTTGGGGTGGCGGCTGTTTTGGGGGCCGGGCGGTCCCTTCGGATGGGTGCCGTGGTGGTGGTGGCAGTGCCACGGGCGGGCAGGGCCGTGGCAGGGGCGCCGGGTGGATGTGGGGATGTCAGCTCTGTGCGCAGGGAAGAGCAGGGATTACTCAGTCCCAGCGGGGAGGGATGGCTGCGGGACAGGGAAGGGGTTCAGGAAGCCCCCCCAGCCCCGTGCCCCCACCTTACCCACAGGTGTGCAGCTCCCAGGGACAGTGACACTGCCCCAACCCACGGACATGGAACTCCCCTTAGCTCCTGTACATGGGGTCACCCTCTCCCCATAGCGGACAGAGCCCGGGATACCCTCTGTGTGCCCCTGGCCCACTCTGAGCCGGTTCTGTGCCCCCCACCCCAGTCACAGCCACCCCCCAGCTCGGCACTCACGGTGGATGACGATGCCAAGCAGGAGGGCGATGAGGAAGAGCAGGATGATGCTCATCAGAGCCACGCAGAGCCAGGTGAACTTGCAGTCGGCGCGGAACCTCCAGCCCACCTGTCCCCAGAGCTGCTGGCCTGGGGGCGAGGACAGCGGGCAGAGCCGGGGTGCTGCTGAGCCAAACCCCCACCTCCCTGCACGGCTGCCTCAGCCCCGCCTGGGCACGTCCCCATTGCTTGTCCCCGCTGCGCTAATGTGTCCCCAAGGTGTCCCAGAGCCCACCACCCGCTCCTGCAGCCCCACGGACAGCGGGGTGTGTACAAACCCCCAGGCTGGTACCGAAGCCGTCCCGGCGTGGTGCGGGGCCGGTCCCATCCTTGTCTGGTTCCACGCTCGGTGCCGCCCGGGGCTCCTCGCCCTCAAAAACGGGGTTGCAGAACTCGGTCTGTAGGACAGTGAGGGCGGGTGGCACCCTGGGGACCCGTGGGACCACCAGCAGCACCCACACCCCCGGCCCTACCTTGCTGCCGTCCAGAGCCTCGGGGCAAAGCGTGATTTCGGTGAAATCTTTCATGGCAGCAGGCGGTTCCTGGCGCAGCCTGGCTAAAATCCTGCCCAGTGCCCTGTGCCCCCCAGCCCCACAGCCCGCTCCTCCCGAGCTGTCCCCATGGGCTCCGGGGCGGGGTGGTGGCAGTGCCAGCTCTACAGGTGACAGCCCAGCACCGGAGCCCACCCGAGGGCCATGCCCGCCGTGCAGCAGTGCGGGGAGCCCCGGGAGGCAGCAGCCCCAGTCCCCTGTGCAGGCCCCTTCCCCCTCGCCCCGTTAATCCAGCTCAGCTGAGGATGCCGAGGTCAGGCTCTGGCACGGAGAGCCAGCGTCTTAAAGGGGAATGAGTGCTCGTGTCCACCCCGCTGGGACCCTGCTGGTGGGGTTCCCACACGGGATTTGGTTCTCCAGGTTCCTCAGTGCTCAGGGCAGCACTGGAGGGGCTGTTTTGGGGACCCTGGGCTGAGCGTGTCCCTCCTGCCCTCGCTGGGTGCCCGGGCTCTGCCACCGGCATTCCCGCTGTCCCTAATGCCCGTCTCCGTCCATAAGCAGGGGAGAAAGGGACCATTGTTTTGAGGGTTTTGAGGGAAGAGTGTGGGAGCTCCGTGGGGCTGCAAAGGCTCTTTCTGCCACCAAACGCTGCCACCTGCACCCACATCCCCCTTGCTCCAGGTGAGCCCCGATGCTCCTGGTCCATGGGTGCACCTGTGGCAGCTCCCTACCCAGAAACAAACCACACGCACCCAACGCCCTGTTCAAGCTCAAATTTATTCCTGCACGAGTCTCCCTTGTATGAGACACTTCCCACCCGTCTTGCTTACACAGTAAACAAGCCACCTGCCAAGCAGCATCGCTGCCCCAGCCCAGCTCCTGCAGCCCCCCTTTCCCACCCTGTCCCCCCTGAGCCCCGCTGGGATGCCCCAGGCTGGGCAGGATGCTGGTGCCAGCGCTCAGCCCGTGCCCGCAGGGCAGCGAGGGCGATGCCGGCCGGGTGTGGGTTGGATGGAGCTGCCTCGAGGGCTGGGATGGTGCCCGTGTCTCCTCCCGATGCACCTCAGGCAAGGCAGGACGGGGAGGAGAATAAATTAAAGGCTATAAAGGCCACTGGCATTTGCTAGCTGGAGGACAGAGCAGCAAGGCGGGTCCCCGGGCACCCAGGGGGGCTCCTGATCACAGGGAGAAAAAAAAGCCCCGATTGCAGATGGTCCCGGAAAGCCACTGTCCTCCCCTCCCTCTCCCGCACAGGTTCCTGTGCGACCCCCACGGCCCCCCCGCTCCCCTGAATGGTTTAAGGCACCGTCGTATGAGGAGGCAGGTAAAAACCTACCCGGAGCAGCCCCTGGCACAAGTCCCTGGAGAGGCAGGAGGCGGCGGGGGGGGCTCCAGGTTGAAGCGAAGTCCACTATAAATACATATAAATTCCACAAAATGTTTTCCTCCCTCCTGTCCGTGAGTCTGGGCCTGGGCTCAGGCTGCTTTGAGGAGTGTGTGTGGGGCAGCTGCAGGGGATGTGCTGCCTGAGATGGGGACGGAGGCCACCAGAGGGCTGGAGTCCTTTGCCAGGAGGTTTGGAAGTGCCGGGAGGAGGTCGGGAGCAGTTCACGAATCCTCTGGGATGGCCAAGCAGATACAGGAGTGGCAAGAGGCCAGGAGGGATGTGTGAGGCTCTCCTGGGTGCTGTCCCAGGGGAGCAGAAGTCCTGGTTGAGTCAATGGGACAGGTGGCCCCATTCCTGTAGAGTCCCTTGCTCAGGATTTTTATTACAAACACACACGCACACACACAAAAAAAAAAAGAAAAAAAAAGAAAAAAAAATAAAAAATAAGAAAAAAAAATAAAAGAAAGAAGAAAAAATAATAAGAAAAAAAATAGAAAAAAAAAGAAAGAAGAAAAAAAATAAGAAGAAAAAAAAAGAAGAAGAAAAAAAAAAGGAAAAAAGGAAAAAAAGGATAAAGACCAAATGCCAGCAATCAGAAGGCGCCTGCTGAGCTGCCTGAGCCCTGTTCTGTCACGAGTCCCTCCTCAGTTCGGAGCTGGGCTGTCCCTTGCCCGGGCTCTGCTGTCCCCAAGCCTCCCTCTGCAGCCACCTCGGGGGTGTCTCCTCTTCGCCTCCCTCTTGCTCTGGGGGGGCCGAATGCCCGAGCCCCAGCGGAGCCGGCTCTGAGGGGTGGCACCGGGGGTCCCCAGGGAGGCAGGGCTGGCTACATGCGGGAGGACGGGCTGGCCAGCTCGTAGAAGAGCAGGTAGGCATCGCTGCTGCGCACGTGGCTCGAGGACATGGGAGTGACACTGCAGAGAGGGGAAGAGGAGAGCTGTGAGCAGCGGGGATGGGATGCCCCGAGCAGGGCGGTCCCTGCTCGCTGCTCCCACGCCAGGCTCACCGGGAGTCGTTGAAGCTGTGCCACTCGCTGGACACAGGGCTCTTGCAGTAGGCTGTGTAGTGTCCCCCCATGGTGGTGCCCGAGTGGTTGGAGACGGCGTAGAGGTTGTAAACGGCGTGGTCTGCGGGGAGCAGGGGTGCTGCTCAGCCCTGCTGCCCCACTGAGTGCCAGCACACAGCCCCCCCACCATGCCAGCAGCTCCAGCAGCCCGGATTCCCTGCCTCCCACCCCTCACATCTCTGTCCCCCACCAGAGCTGGGGACACGAGGAGCCCAGGAGTTCAGGGCTGGGATTAGAGTCATGCAGGGGCTGGGACTCACTGCAGCTCTGTGAGGCCAATTCCCGGAGGTCCAGGTCCTTCAGTGGGAAGTTGACAAACGTGGTGAGTTTGCTGCTTCGTATCCTGGCCTCGGAGAAGCGCTTCAGGTCTGGAGGGTCACGTCAAGGAGCCAAAGGGACAAAGGGGAGCCTGCAATAACCCATCTCTGTCCCCCACAACAGCCCCTATCCCCATCCCTCTGCCCAGAGGATACGAAGCACCAGGATCTTGGGGAACTTCTGGATGCTGAATTTTTTTGTGCACCTTGTCCTGGCTTTGCAGCGACAACACGTCTGCGGGAGGGAAACAGCACAAGCAGGAGGGTGAGGGCACTGCCCACAGTCCTAGCAACACAAGCACAGAGGGGAAAGGTCCCAGCCCGCCCCAGGGAGCCCCCCTGCCCCGTACCGGTTTCTCATCCCCATCCAGCACATCCTCTTTGGTGAAGAGCCGGAGGCAATCCATGAGCGTCACCTCCCCGTAGCCTTTCTGTGAGAGTAGAGAGACGGTTTGGGACAGGGAGTGTGGGACAAGGAGTGTGGGACAGGGATCCTTGGGGCTTCCTCACCTTGGGGATGGGCAGGGACAGGTCCCAGAAAGGGTCGAAGGCTGTGGAGCAGTAGCCACACTCGCTGCAGGTCAGAGAACTCTTCAGCTGCCCAACAAAGAGATCTGGTGGGGTGAGACAGGGCAGGGTGAGACCTCTGATTCCCCACCCTGCTCCCAGCCCAGCCCTGCCCTCCCTTGCCCCAGCCCTGCTCACCGCTGATGCGGCTGTCCTCCCTCTCCTGGTACCTCCTCCACATCTGCCGGCTCTTCTCGTCGTCACTGCAAGGATGGGGACACAGCAGGGCAATGAGCATGGCCTGGAGGACGCCAACCCCGTCACCCAGCCCAGAGGGACCCGTGTGGTCACTGTCCCTGGGCTGGCCTTGCGGGCAGTGAACTCTTCTGGGGCTTGTGCAGTGCCAGCACTTACGGGAGGTGATCCAGGGTGTCGGTGCTGGCGCGGGGCCGCACCAGCACACGGTTCACCTCGCTGTGCAGCCCGTCCAGCAGGAACCGCAGGAATTCCTGAGCATCCTGCTGGCTGCAAGACACGGGGAACGGCCAGTGAGAGGCTGCAGGGGGCTCAGCTCCCCCCACCACCCTGCACACACCCCCCTTACTTGTAGCCGACGAAGCGTGGGGCGTATCTCTGGATCTGTGTCTTGAACTCGGAGGGGCTCACGCTCTCGTTGGGGGATGAGGTCCAAAGCAGCTGGATCAGCTTTGCAAACTCTGCAGGTACAGAGGCAGGTCAGCAGCAGAGAGGGCACAGCCATGTCCCTAAAGGGACAGCTCAGGGCCACACTCTGGGCTCTCTGCCCTGATCCTCCACTGGCTGGGCAGCCCAAGGAGGAGCATCGAGCTCTGGGTGGGGGTCCTGCAGGATGTGGGGATGTGCTGCAGGGATGTGCTGCAGGAATTGCTGCAGGGAAGCCCCCGCAGCCGCCAGGGGCTGGGGATGGGCAGGTACCTGACATGAGCGCCGTGCGCATGCGGCTGTTGTTGTTGAGGTCCCGCAGGTACTGGTTCTGCAGGCAGTAATCCCGCAGCTCCTTGGTGTTGCTCAGGCACTGCAGGATGGAGTTCATGAAGCACTGGGGGAGGCAGAAGAGAAAACCATGGCAACGGGAAGCAGAGGGAAGCAGGCCGTGGCAGGGGGACACCTGTGCCGGCCAGGTACAGGATGGGGATGAAGCCCTGAGGAGCAGGGGATGCTCTTCCTCAGGCAGCACCGTGGGGAGAGGGGTGCAGGGAGCTGCCAGGGTGATGGTGTGGGTGTTGGGGGCAAGGTGAAGGGACAGGGCTCCCCCTGCCCTACAGATGTGCCCAGTGTGAGCCAGAGGCCCGGGGACACACTCACCGTGTTGCCGAGGTTCCGCAGGCCAGTCAGCCCCTGCACGGCCTTGGAGCTCTGCAGAGAGAGGGAAGGGGGCTTGAAGGGTGGTGTGCTGGCCATGCCTGTGGGCAGCCCAGCGAGGCCATGGTGCCACAGACCTGCCTGTGGAGCAGACCCTCAGGTGCAAGCTGAGGCCCCATCCCGCTGTGACATCATGGGCAGAGCCAGCACCCAGCAGCTCTCTGGTGACAAAGCATGGCTGGCCTGCTTGCCCAGGACAAGGCACAGAGCTCAAAGTTCTCCCTGCCTGGCAACACTTTTGCCCCATGCCCTGGATTGCTGGTCAGGCCAGCAGCCCAGGCTGCCTCCCTTGGGGACACTGTGGCATGGCAGTGCCCTGTGCCTGCCCCACGCTGCAGAGGGAGCACAGTCCCCTGTCACTGCCTGTCTGGC